TGTGTGTGTGTGTATGTGTGTGTGTGTGTGTGTGTGTGTGCGCGCGCGTGTGCGTGTGCGTGTGCGTACGTGCGTGCGTGCGTGCGTGCGTGTGCGCGTGTGTGTGTGTGTGTTTATTGCATTGATATAATTAGATATCGTTATTAACGTCAACTGAGCACAGTTGATTCATCCACGCAGTGCACGATGCCGCTCCTAACAACGTCAGTGCATTAGCAGTATACTATTACACTCTCCTATCAAACAGCCAGAGGGAGAAACGCTATTATGTTGCATATATATATATGCGCGTGTTTTTGTGTGTGTGTGCGTGCGTCCGTCCGTGCGTGGGTGTGCGTGTGTGTTTATATATATTTTGGCTCATTGTTCGGTTGCCTTACAAATAACGGAATAGCAGACGACATCAAATCATGTCAGTGTAAATGCGAGACGTTAGAAAGAGTGGTGCGCGGCTGGCTGCACGCGTGCAATATTCTGGCCATCGTCAAACAGAAACGGCAATATAGCACACAGGCGAGCTCATATTATGAGCTAATTAGCTGCTTGCGATGTTTACTGCATGCTCAGCAATTGTGTCAAAGCCAACGAGCGATCTATAAAACTCTAAAAATATCGCCTCACAGATTTTCCACCTTCTTCGCACGTCCATCTCATGTTCTACAGCAGTAGCCTAAAAGGAATGACCGTGCTATATAGTCATGTAGAGGAAATTAGTGCTAACAGTGAGAGTGACTGATGTAGTTTGGTACTACGAGCTTTTAGCGAGAGACCGTGTGCCCCGGGATAAACTAGTCATAGTCTCACTATCAGACTAACTAATGGTCTGGCTAGAGCGAGTAGAGTCGCATCTTCCTCAATTCGACCCAGATTCCTCACAGGAGCTGCGGACCAGCAGCAGCAGCAGCAGCTGGCCCAGTAAAACACGTATCTGTGCGGTTACGCGCATCTTGAAGTATCTGCAGGACGACGGGTATTTCTTTATATACGCTGTACACACCGTACGTACCACCCACATGTACCCACATGTAACACGAACGCACGCACGCACGAAAGTTTAGCAAGCGAGCAAGGTCACCGGGTGATAGAGTGCAGTGGCAGAAGATGAGAGAAACCATGAACGCATTGANTAGTTGTAGCTGTAGTTGTAGCTGTAGTGTAGTTGTGGCTGTAGTTGTAACTGTAGCTGTATCTGTAGCTGTAGCTGTAGCTGTAGCTGTAGCTGTAGTTGTAGCAGTAGCTGTAAGTGTAATTATAGCTGTAGCTGTAGCTGTAGTTGTAGTTGTATCTGTAAGTGTAACTCTAGCCGTAGCTGTGTGCAGTTATGGCCACTGCTATAATTTCTTCCCTCGCTCTACCATCTGTTCACCTATATAACAGCTTATTCTATTTCACACGACAACATGAGCCGTACTGACGTCACATAACCCGACGTCCGTGGTTGGCGACGCAGCGAAGGCACAGTCCTACAGAAGATAGCTAGTGGAGTAGCCATACAGAAGATAGCTAGTTGAGTAGCCGTACAGAAGATATCTAGTTGAGTAGCCGTACAGAAGATAGCTAGTTGAGTAGCCGTACAGAAGATAGCTAGTTGAGTAGCCGTACAGAAGATATCTAGTTGAGTAGCCGTACAGAAGATAGCTAGTTGAGTAGCCGTACAGAATATAGCTAGTTGAGTAGCCGTACAGAATATAGCTAGTTGAGTAGCCGTACAGAAGATAGCTAGTTGAGTAGCCGTACAGAAGATAGCTAGTTTAGTAGCCATACAGAAGATAGCTAGTTTAGTAGCCATACAGAAGATAGCTAGTTTAGTAGCCATACAGAAGATAGCTAGTTTAGTAGCCGTACAAAAGATAGCTAGTTGAGTAGCCATACAGAAGATAGCTAGTTGAGTAGCCATACATACGATAGCTAGTTGAGTAGCCGTACAGAAGATAGCTAGTTGAGTAGCCATACAGAAGATAGCTAGTTGAGTAGCCATACATACGATAGCTAGTTGAGTAGCCATACATACGATAGCTAGTTGAGTAGCCATACAGAATGGCTAGCAGATGCTGAGAGAGTAAGAACAAACACTCCGTCTTCCCGCCTCCGCAAAAGCATTTAATTAGCATAAATAATTAATAATTAATAAATATTAATTGGCATTAAATTAGCGTAAGCAAAGGAATAGGTATATCGGGCGACATAACTATAGCAACCATAGAACTCTCCAGGACTCCAGGAACTATCCCCCCCTGCAAATATCCCCCACCTCCACTCGCTCATCCCTTCCACTGAGAGCGGCCACAGTGCGTAACTACGCCAGGGAAGCTGCGAGTCGTAGCATCCTCATCCTTTCCGCTGCGTGCTCGACAGTGCCGACCCACCGCTGCCAGCACCCTCTCGTGAGCACCGTCGACCCCCTCCCCCTCCCACCGGTTGCCGTCGACCCCCTCCCCCTCCCACCGGTTGCCGTCGACCCCCTTCCCCTCCCACCGGNCACCGGTTGCGGTCGACCCCTTCCCCCTCCCACCGGTTGCCGTCGACCCCCCTTCCCCTCCCACCGGTTGCGGTCGATGAGGTTAGGTATAGCAAGTTGTTGTGCAACCGCAATG